ATAAATAGTTAGTTAGATAGCTAGATAGCTAGATTGCCAGAAATCAGACCTTCTTTCATCCCGAAACATCCCGTTTACTAGCGATTACCATAGATTCGCTATTATCGGGGATTGGTTGACACCTTGACATATATAAAGTACTGCCGAGGTATTGTTTTGCTGATGTTGGACGGTAGGGGGTAATATAAGCAAGTTAATCTACTTTGGCACATGATTGAGTTCAGTTGTTGCCAATATGGGCCATGTTAATTCAACATCTTAATGAATCATCATGGGTGAATATCTGCTCCGGGATGATAACTCATCATTATTTCTTTTTTTCTTTTTGATTAGTTATCTAGTATCAGATTATTAATCTTTGAAATATCACTGAGCCGGCTGCGCACATTCAGCTGAATCTGATTGAGTCCCAACCTGTGATGCAACCAGACTCAACCAGCCTGGCCCCACTGTTCCAATCAGTATGGGGTTTCAACCATCACTCAATATGATATGCCGTTGAACATACTCTACTCAACCACACAATATTTTCTGGCGTCTCACAAGTGTTGAACTCAGTTAAATACCCCTAAACCCTCTAGGACTTACTTCAGCGCAATCTTCGTCACGACAAGGAGGAGGCCTTCATGGTGCACATCTTGCAGTCTAAAGATGGCTCAATCCAAGAATGCCAAGCACAAGGAGTCTATCGACCTACCAACTCAAACTTCTTATGAGGGAAGTTGCCATTGCAAGGCGGTGTGTTTCTCTGTGAAACTACCATCTCTGTTATCACAATTGAAAGTGGTATCTTGTAACTGTATGTGCATTGGCCTATCACCTCTGCATGATTGTATGCGCGCTTCTGCGTAATACAAAAAGGCTTGACTGTTATACTAAGGAAGACCCTAGGTAGCTATTGTCACATTGCAGGCAGCCTGCTCGCGTTCGTGGATAATCTTGAGATTTATCAAGGGGAGAGTTCGCTTAAGGTATGCGTCCACTAAAACAGCTACCTGTCCCCCATTGAATACTCACAGTTGGCTGTATTGAGCTGCCGATGAAACAATTGCTAACTTAATGGCTATTTTTCATAGGAATATCGGTTCGGTTCGCATACTATACAGATCTTCTTTTGCGGGTCTTGCGGTGCCAATGTATACAACAAATCGCTAAATCCGAAGTTTAGACATGGGGAACACGCTGTTAATGTAAGTAGGACGATTTACTTTTAGAGGCTTGGATCGTCGCTATGGACACGCTCCTTTTCTAATATCGTGGAAGAGAGCACGTATTTGAGCTAACAGATATACACTTGGCCCACTTTAGGTACGCCTGTTACATGGTGTCGATTTGGAGACCATCAAGATTACTAAGGCCGATGGGAAAAGTCTACAACTACCTCCGTTAGCAGAGAAACTGCTCTAGGGTCCGTGAGCGTATTCCACAAGTGGGGAGACTATACGCGTCAATATCTACAGGACGCCTCCTTGGACGAATGATCTTATGGTTGGATGGAGAAAATTACACGGACAAGGCGAACTCCGAATCTGGACGACCTTGACTACCTGTTTGAGTTTTGTGCTCTAAATTTTGCATTTTACACATCACTGCAGCGAGCTCTTCATAAGCGCTCTAACATCTATCTCAGCACGGCTAATTCTGAGAAACCTGCTTCTTATAATATTCTGGTTATTGCTCACACATGTACAACTCGATGCAACCCATGCATAAAGGAAAAGTATCCTTCAGGGTGAAAGATTTACTGTCTGCGGGTGCGGAATCAATGCCTCGAGCCATCAGGAGCTTTAACAACGAACCCTCTGGAAGTCTTTTCAAAGCGGAAGGCGCGGATGATATTGAAGATCCTATTGTTGGCAGATTGTATGAGTGGGACGACGATGACCACTGTTGCAGTTGGGTGCAGCCCCATATTTCGAGTCTGATTGCATAAATCCCTGAGAGATATTTGCCTTCATTTTCTCCGATAGCTCCGAGTGAAATGGCATGACAACTTTATTACTTTCTCCGACTGTTACCCATTGCCGTAGTTGTTGTACAATCTGCAGGATTTCAGCAATGCGGTCACAGTATATAATCATCTTTGGTATGCCCAACGTCCTTCCCATCCAGATTGTGCACATGCTCGCAAACTAGTCAGGTGACAAAATGGAGATCCTCATAACTTTCTATATGTCTCTCAATTGATTGTATATCGGAGCCCCGACGTGCGGAAACTTGGCGCTCATGATAGCCAAAAGCGACAATCGCAAATGCCGAGAAGCCGGGGAATGGGTGCATGGATAGTACGATTGCGACTGAGGGCCGAAGTGACTAGAACAATAGCTCATAACAAACATAGGAAGGGACTTTGTGCATGCAAACCCTTCATGATACATGTATAACTTTCCTTGGGTCAAATCTATCTTGTGCATTCTTCGAATTGCTCCAAGGCAGCACATATCCACGTTGGTTGCTCACAACTCTTACCTGCCCCTCCTTGAAATCAGTGGTATGATGTGTGTGCCCAAACACCCAGACTTTGACCCCAGGTAGTGCTTGTGATAGGATATCAGTTCCAAAGGCAACGCTCCAAGGGTTCTGGTTGTGTTGCGGGCTCGATGTCCTCTGGAGTAGAGGGGCATGGTGTGTCACAACAAGAATAGATCTTTTTTTACTCCGCTTGTCTGCCTCTCCATTTCCCTGGTGTATCGAATGTATCTCTTTCCGTAACCAGGCGAGATCTGAATCATGGCTTGCATTATGGTCATCAATTGACCAGCCTTCGATTTTTTGAAAATCTTTGACTTTCGACTGGACGACAACCCTCGACTCATGAGGTATTTCTGACCAAAGCGTGCAGCCTAGGATAGTGACGCAAGAACCCGGGACATCATATCTTTTCTGATGAAACACAATTAATCGTCCATTTAAGGAAGGTTCCCGCTCAAGTTGTCTAGCTTTTTCCAGCCCTGCAGCGAAAGTCCCATTGTAGAACTCATGATTTCCAAGTATGAGAATTACCAATTTGAATCTGTCTGTCTGTTTTTGTAGGAAATGGCGATAACCATCATAGTCCGTTAAGCGCCCAATATCACCCGCCAGAATAAGATGCTCTGCGCAAACCGGAATTTCATAAAACGGATACTGCTGGTTAATCTCAAGATGGAGATCAGAGAGGATTTGAAAGGACACGGAGGACCGATTTAGAAATGAACGTAATTTCTGCAGCATTATGTCGCTCTAAAACGCTGTAATCGTAGTTGAAGGGAAGTGGATGCTTGATCTATTAGGGGGCCAGGAAAGCCGAACTAGTGAGTTAGTTATCCAATAGAACTAGCTTACATAAATGAGGTCGAAATGTATACTCACGTGATGGGTATTGCCAAGGTTGCGCTCTTGGATGCTATTTGAAGCCGGAAGTCTGCCCCTTTGTGGGCAAACACTATCAATGCGATGCCACCATCTTTCCTTATTCACCTTTCGGAAAATGGAAGTCGCCCTGGCAATAGAGAGGGTTGTCCAACTTGCGATCTGAAGGTATACTGGCCTGTGTTATTGGTGAGATAGCATTAAACTACTATAATGTACCCCAAGTTGTGCATGTGTTGAAAAGTATAAGACCCTAGACTGATAGGAATCATGTCCGGACACCTTTTTAGCCTACTGGTATTATATTTCGATAGCATGTAAGTGCTCTCTCGCTTTCTGTGAAGAACATTGTCTTATTATTTTCAGGATATCGAGATATGCGTCCCAGAAAGCTTACTATCGAAAGCTGTATCCAACCTCCGCTTTACCGGTCTATTTCAATTAACGCAGAAGAAAGAGTACGATATATTCACGGAATATAAAAGGGGGTTTCCAACGCTTAGGTGCCGCAAGTGACAGCTGGACCTGTGAATTAGTACCAGTACCCTTGCAGCTTGGACCCATCTGTTAATCAATATCCTCAAGATAACAATATCCGAATCCGCAAGCTGGGAGGTATACTGGAGGCGCGTAAGTCAATCTCTTCTGCTCACATCGAGGGGTTTGAAACAGAAGGCGGGGTTTGCTAACATAGAAATAGAAACTGGGTCAGGACCGCGAAAAATGATATATCAAATTGAATGATTTGCCACTGGCATGCGGAACCGGTGAGTGCCTTCTGTCAAGGCAAACCCAGCTGCCGAATTCAGGGCTAATAAGTGTTTCAATGTTAAGCTGTGAATAGCGATCCATGTTAATACCATGTGGTATCTGGATCTTAACTGAAATATGTAGCGGAGGTCTCCTTCAGAGCAGGCTAAAGGGAGTTAAGGATGTTCATTTGTGTGTCTGTGCATGTGAGGTTTGATAAGAACCATTCTATACTTATGGCTGAGTTTTATCAGAAGATTGGAAATTGATCGATGAAAGGGTGTTACATGTGAGTTTGACGATGTAAAATTTTGGCAAATACTTGCTTTATTAATTTTGAGAGATGAGCGGCGGGACTATATGTGGAGATTGTCTGGTGCTGCCAAAGGAGTATATTCCTTGGGACTTAGTACAACAGTAGCTCCCTATAAGGCAAATCCTCACAGTGCCTTGGGACGGCTGACCTTGGGCATGACACAACGAATGGAGAAAGACGCGGGCGAGGATAAGGGCCGCGGAACCAAGCGCCATGATTTGAACATGATCTTATTATCCCACAAGGCCTAGAGACCCTGGATTCACGTTGATAGCCTATTGGTCTTGCCTGCCCACCCGACATATATGGGAGAGTCCCTTTGAAAATATCAACACCGGAAGAATGCGCAGATAGAGTTTCATGTCCAAGAAAAAGGATCGCGGGGGAATGATTGGATTGATGATGAGAATGGTGATGAAGGCGAAGGTCGTCGCTAGGCCTCAAGGGGTAGCTCGGGGGTCTAAGTCTCCAATACATGTCATCATAGCTATGAACCCTCTGAGGCATACAAGCATTCTCCATTCATGGTATCCAGGATCGAGTGATATCCACCATCTTATCCATCCAGAGGACAATGCTCGGATCACTCCCGGATCTTCTCGGCATACTTGGCTGCCAGATCCCCGGCCAACTGTTTCAGCGATCCAGAGCCCATGATCTCCAACACGCTCATCGTGAGTCCCAACACCTGCTTGATCCATCGCCGCAACTCAATCACCATCAGCGAATCGAGCCCGATCTGCGCCAGCGTCCGGCCAATCTCAACCTCATCATCTGGTTTGACCATCAAGTCGTAAATCGTCTTGCCCACTTCGACGGTGAGAAAATCAACCCCCTCCCCGCGTAAGAGGCCCTCATCCCCCATCTCGCGCACACGTTCCAGGAAGGCCTGCAGGGCGCTCGCCTTGGCGCCGTTTTTGCCGTCTCTGGCGCTCTCCGACTCCCGCGCCCGCCGATTGTGGTAAAGCCCCATGCGACGATTGTGGCGCCAGCTGGCCCGGTTGTGCGGGTCGCCCAGGTCCTGATCAGAGCGCAGTCCCATCACGACTTGAGATTGGTTCACCCATGGCCGTGGAGGGGTGGCTGTTGGACTCATATTCCCGCCAGCGGACAGAGTACTGTTAATGGACTAAGCTCCACCAAGTTAAGGAACTCACGCTCCCGCAAGGTGTAGATCCCTTGCGCCTTCATGTTCTTTTTGGCGTGCAGGTTCTTGGCGACCAACCCAACCCCCTTAATGGGGCAGATGTTCAGCACCAAGGCTGGCAATCTAAGGGAATATTGGTATTGGTAGAATGCCTCAAGGAACGTCCCCATGGTGAGGTAGTTGGCCTGGCCGGGCGTGTCCACGGTGGTTAAAATGGAGCTGGCCAGCCAGAAGAAATCCAGCAGCTGGTCTCTCAACACAAAATGGGGATGCCACATCCCTGTCACTTTGGGCCTGTTGACCTAATCTGAGTATGTCATCTCTAAGAGAGGCGCATCCTACCGCCATGTCAGTTGAATAAAATCGTTTAGGTTATTTAGCAAATTCACCTTCAGCACCATGGCTAGCTAGAACACGCCCTTAATTAGCTTATTCAGACTGGCAATAGACCACTCAATATCCTCAGGGTTTTCAATACTTCCCACCACCAAGTGGACGCTGCATCCCATCTGCTCAAGCTCCTGGGACAGGCTCTGACTCTCTTCAACCCTTACCGGCGCGTTGGGAAAGCAAGATCAAATCAGTGGCCCCATGCTCAACCATCAAGTGGCCATGGATCAACCCAGGCCACACATGCCTCTGATGAGGAGATACACTGCTGCCAAGTCCAGGGTCAGGGCTCGCGATGGGAGCTCCTTCAGCTTAAACAGGTGGTAGCAGCCAATGCATACTTAGCCATCGGTGACCACAAACTCCTTGTCTGCATAGAGGCTAGTCTCATCTTTAGTGGCTGGGATTTGCTGCAAGACTCTGAGGACCAGTTCTTCGAACCAGGTCTCATTAGTGTCAATCTCCAGTGTGAATAGCAGGAGGTACAGCTCCGTCCGCACCGTTCAAGCAACGCTGAGCGTCTGCGCAGACCGCGGGTCATTGCACCGCACCTGGAATGGCGGACACAGCCATAGAACCTTCTCAGCATCTACGTGTCGGATCAGGGCCTGGACTGCGGCCAGCCAATCAGGCGACAGGTCTTCACTAAAGAAGTCACTATCTAATCCGACGCTGGCGATGATGTCCCGGCCCTTGGGCGGCATCTCTTCCCCCAGCCGGCACCTCTCGACCTGCCGGCCACCGTCCCGCAGATACAACTGGAGTCGCTTCACAATGTCTGCGTCCGCGCTCTGGCATAGCAAGGTGACCGCTCGGTCGATTTCCGGCACATCGGCCTTCCGCGCAGGCTGGGAGATGATGGTGGCCGCCAGCCGGTAGGAAGGTACGCCCTGGTCCGGCACAACGGCGTCAACACCGGTGAAGCCGGCCGCCTTCAGTTCAACATCCCACCGCTCCGGCTGGACATAGGGCTTTCAGTTGCGGCCATCAGCTTCGCCCAGCCACCATCCGACGAAGTTGCCAAAGATGTAGTTGGGCGACTTGACGAGGGAGCACAGTTCAGTCAGGATGATGAAACCATCGGGCTTGAGCAGCGGCTCCAGGTTCGACAGCGTTTCCTTCAAGGGTGCGGTTACGTGCACGACATTCGGTGCGAGGATGAGGTCGTAGGACGCGGCTTCGAAGCCCTGGGCGAGACCGTCTTGGGAGATGTCGAAGATCCGGAACTCCATGTTGGGCGCGTAGGTGAACCATTCTTTGGCCTGCGTGAAGAAGCCCGCGGAGATATCGGTAAAGGTATAGACGGAATAGGGAGGGAGGCTGCTCCCGTCGACTAGACCGCGGCGGGTTCACTCAGTGGTGCCGCCCATGCCTGCCCCGACTTCGAGGATGCGAAGGTTCGGTCGGTTACTGGAGAGCAGACGGACAAAGTCGCCATATCCAAAGCTCACCAAGTCATACAGCTCGCGAGGATGTTGTTTTGCATCAGCAAATCCAACGTGTTGGCTTCACCGGTGAAGATTTGGTCTGCATGCTCGCAGATGCGCTTGATGCCGACGGAGTAAGTGCGTCGGCCGGGAAGATGCAGGATCTTCGCGTATGTGTCTTTAATGAGTTTCTGCCGTTCAACCCGAGGAAAGTTCTCTATTGCGTGCATGAGGGGGATGCGCCCATCGCTGTGTGCAGATTGTAATAATGTTATTTGTCACGGCACTCTGTACTACTCATCGCCTGGTGTGACTTGGCACATTGATTGTGGGCATTAGACACGGTGGGAAGAGTGTAGTCTCCAGTACAAGCAATACGTCCCTGTACAGCAAAATTTCACACCAGTAGTATTAGAGTTATTCCACGATAATACTGATCGGATATCATGTGGAGAACAACGGTTGTGTTCCCCCACCTTCCCAATAATGTCCATGGCCATTCACCTCCAGGATATCAAGAGAGCCACAAGTCTTTCTCCTCAACATGGGTCAGATATCAGACCGAGCATAAGAAAATTACGCTAGGTAGTGGTAGATATACCCTGAATTTCCCAGACTTTCTTCACAGGAATTGCGGGGTCTCTCTGTTGTGTAAAGTCTAGACTCATAGTGACTGGTGATTTATTTGATGTGGGGGAAAAGTCAAAGTCCGGGTGAAGTGAGTACTCCCAAAGAGTATGCCCCCTTGACATATGGTAATAATGTGCTTTCGCATTGTCCCACCCATCGTCCTCCGTGTTCGGAGCTGCGTTAGGCACCATGATCACACCGCAGTCTCAGCCAGATTTGGTGCCAGAAGGCAACTTGGTGCCTCGAAACCTGTATCAGTGCGGAACATGCTCTCAGTCTTACTCGCGGATCGACCATCTGCGCCGCCATATTCTTTCGCGTAGGTCACTGCGGCTTCCAGTTGACTGTGCTGTTGTCGGTCGGTTTCGCTGACAGGCTATTGCAGACACCCAGGAAAAGCCTCACCAATGCTCTGTGTGTAGTAAGCGCTTCGGCAGAATGTGCTGTTTCCCTCGCCATCTGGCCTTATCGCTCCAATTAATGTTAACTCTAGTGATCTGCTGCGACGGCATTCGGCTCTGCATATTACCACAGGGAGCAAGCAGGTCCTCAAGAAACGTCCTCGCAGTGGCAGCGCGAATCCCATCAGCCGGGCTTCTCAAGCATGCAGTGCCTGTGCAGAAAACCATCTTAAATGCGACGAAGAAAAGCCCTGCGCCAGATGCCGCAGGCGAAATATTGCCTGTGTGGTTCCTTCCAAGTCCACTGACGGCGTTCAAGTTCGCTTTGCCAACCCGGACAGTCCGGGTGGTGCGGAAATAAACAGCAACCATAACTCAGAGGAAAGGAGAGGAGAAACAGATACACTACTATCTGAGGGATCCCAGCCACTCATCACTCCTCCAATGGAGATCCCAGCCTCACAAGAGCCGGACCATTCGCAGTCGATCGACTTGGATGGAAACAGCCATATGCCACCGGACTACATTCCATCAGGGCTCAGGGATGAGTTCACAAGCGGATTGTTTACAGATGCGCCCAGTGGCGTGCGAACACCCCGGGGTTCGATCACTTTTGGCCTGCAGACCGATCTCGACTTCAGCATGGTCGACCTCAGCTTCCTCGAATCATACAATAGCCACGTCCCGTTTGAGTTCGACGAGCAAGCACCGAGTCTGTCCCTGTCTGGTTCGCCCTACGAGACCCGCGAAACACCGATACAGAGCAATCCCCGAGGCACACGGTCTATGCAGCGACTGCGATGGCGCTTCGTTCCTGCTCCTCAAGATCATGGCTATTGCGAGCACGAAAACCTGTTACTACCCAATGAAGCGACTGGCGCGTCCAGCCTGACTCCCCAGAGTGCGGAAGACGCAAACAGCCAATCGACAACGGACCAGAGTCTTGATCTGCACTCGCGTGATAAGATCCTGGGCATTGTTCTCAGCCAGATGAAACAGCCTATCTCGGCGGTTCTGTCATCCTTTCCCTCGGCCCAGCTTCTCGACAGCCTGATCAGATATTACCTAACCGCCCCATTCTCTACCGCAAGCACTTGGATCCATCGGGCCACTTTTCGCCCTCGACTGGTGTGTCCAGAGCTGCTTCTCGCCATGGCAGCAGCTGGGGCCGTCTTGACACCGGATCCCTCGCTACGCAAACTCGGATTTGCCATGCAGGAAGTCGTACGGTTGCAGCTGCCTTCGGTGTTCGAGGGGAACAACACTACCATCCGTGACCTTCACCTGCATCAAGCATACTTGCTATACCTAGAAATTGGTTTGTGGAGTGGCAATAGCCGGAAAATCGAGATCTCAGAGGCCTTCCGCCAACCTCTGCTGACCATGGTTCGTCGCGGCGGCAATTTTCACCACTCAGCCTATCCGCCACTGCCAGCGCGGTTGGAAGAGTCTGGTCAGAGCTTGGAAGATACATGGCGTGCCTGGGTGTACAAAGAGGCATACAAGAGGCTTGTGTACCGCTTGTTTCGACTGGAAGCTCAAGTCTCCATGGCTCTCTTCACCGGCCCTTTGATTACCTATGTCGAAATGGGCCCTCCTCTACCTGCCCCTTCGTATCTCTGGGAAGCGAGTTCCGCGTCTCAATGGAAGGAAGCCTATCATTCATCTCCTCTGCCCTCTACAGGTCGAATTCGCACGCTCAGCGAGTGCGTGGCGAATTTAGATCTTCTGGAAACCAGTCGTCGTGTTGCGGACATCCGTCTTGCTTGCGGCGCCGTCATGCACTGTATATGGGGCCTCGTATGGGAGTTCCGCCAGCTGAGCTCTCTTCTGAACGGACACAGCCGCTACTGGGATAATGATCTGCTCATGGCCGCTCGGCATGGACAGCTTAGCAGGATACTCGAATGTTTTCGAATGGGATACCGCGACGAAGTCCCAGTGCAGCTGCACTTTATCATGATGCACATGTACGTGTCACTGGAGGAGGTTGAGACATTGGCTACCTCGGACGATGCCAGTCGCGCCTGGGAACAACCTGCTCTTGGTGACTGGTTCAAGATCGAACATTCCCGACACGCCATATGGCATGCGGGCCAGGTCGTTCGGGGTATCAAAGGTCTTCCGTTGCAAGGTCTACGAGATTTCATGGCGATTGCGCTATACCATGCCAGTCTAACTTTGTGGGCCTACGGTGTGGTATTCTTCCATAACATGGATAATCATAGTCAGCAGCTGGCTGGTCCAACACTGCAGCATAAGATCTGGCTGGATGGAGTAGAGAGTGAGGATATACAGTGTTTCATCACTCTGCACCGCGGAATACCAGTCCTGCAGGGCCTTGGTCATGCAGAAGAGACTGTCTTTGTCGGTGATCCCCAGGCAGTTCTGGAGACGATGATCAAAGTCATGCAGCAGAATCACCACCATGAAACTTCCACACAGACTCCGCCACTGGTGGATAACTTGGTCCATCTTCTTGAGAAGTTGCGAGATGCCAGCAAATAAAATGTGACGCCGGCGCAGAACAATTTGGCGGTAAAGGGATATAGCAAGATGAATATATGGATGTATGGATGAATGACACGCAGCAGATATATCTTGTACAAAATTTTATTACTTTCTAACCTGCTATGCGAATTCAATTCATAAAGAGGGCTCAAAGCGAAAAGCCTGCGTCTATTACTGCATTTACCCCCGTCATGGACTTTGAAGTAGCAAATACTTTGACTTGTTCGGCAACGTCCTATCATGTCCATGAGTCAATACCGCTACCACTATGTATTAGGGACATACCTCCGGAGTTGCAAATCGTTTAAGCGGGTTCTTTTCTTTCGCGGCGTTGAGCTTCTCCTCTGGGAATTGTAGACCCCAGTCCTAGTTCGGTCTGTTAGATACTGCTCCAAAGGTTGATCGAGCCACTCACTGTCAGTAAAATCCCTGGCGAGACCGAGTTGACTCGGATCTTCGGGGCTGCAATGATGGCCAAACTCTTGACGAGATGGGTAAGAGCCGCTTTGGTCACGGCATATGGCTAGTATCGTCAGACCACCATTGACGAACTCGGTAATACATAAATTTAAGTGACACATACCAATGAACTCCCACTAGGCTTCAACCCCGCAACACTCGCTGTAGCAATGAATACCCCCTCACTCCGCTCTAAATGCTCTTGACAAACCCGGAAAAGCTGGAAATGACTTTTGACATTCATCGAGAAGCATCTATCCCAGTCCATCTCATTATCTGCTTCCTCCAGATTCATAAAATTGGTCATTCTCGTCCAGCCGACGTTGGAAACCACCACGTCTAACCGGCCCATTGCCTGAATGGTTTGCTGCACAAGCTGCTGAATGGCGCTTCGGTCGGCCAGATTCGCCTGGAATGCTGCATAGTGAGAGACATTTGCACCAGGCACCTTGGTCTGATTCAAAGCTCTCATCTCTTGAAGTAATCGTTCCGCCGGAGCAGGATCGGAATTGTAATTGATAACGATGTTCATGCCCTCCTTGGCCAGGCATCGGGCAATTGCTGCGCCGAGGCCTCTGGAGGCGCCGGTAATCAAAGCGACCTTCGGTGAATTCATAGTAGGGCAAATTTGGCGGTTTCTAGTGAAGAAGGCTGAGATGAAAGCTCGACGAGTTGGAAGAGGACTGGGACAATAGCCCCAAAGTCCTGTTTTAGAGTTAGAAATGACCCGAGGGCGCTCTCACGGCACTCCCAGCGAGACCTCTGTAGTTCTCCAGGCTCGCAGTCAAGGCCGGACTCTCGGAATTGTGACCGACGCGGGCTCGGGTGGAGCCGAAGGGGGCTGATGGCAGTGCTAATATAGAGGTATATGTACTATAACCATGGACAGCTGAATTAATGAAATGCACAAATTCTAAGTGCAATCTTTGTCTACCATAAACGGGACTCAGCGGCACAATGGCAAGACGTCACCTCAAGAGTCGCGCAGATACCGCGTCCAACTCGACAGCGCCCCAAGTCGACGTTAGCGCCATTGTCAAGGGCGTGATCGACGACATTCGCGCCAATGGAGACACGGCAGTGCGCAAGTACTCGGAGAGGTTTGACAAATGGTCGCCTGCCTCGTTCAACCTCTCCCGGGAAGATATTGAGGCATCCATTGCGGCCTGCTCTGCACAGACAATCGAGGATATTAAGCAGGTCCAGAGGAATGTGCGGGCCTTTGCACAAGCGCAACGTGACTCGATCAAAGATTTTGAGTACGAAATCCAGCCAGTAAGTCTGACCATCGGTGCCTTTTAAGCTGTACTGACAAACGGAGGGCGTGTTTCTTGGACAGAAAAATCTGCCTATCCAGACAGTCGGAGCGTAGGCAATTCCGAAAAGACCAAAACGTGCAATCTAGACTGACAATAACAGCTACATCCCAGGCGGACGATACCCCCTCCTTGCCTCCGCCCATATGACCATTCTCACAGCCAAAGAAGCTGGCGTCCCCAAGGTCATTGGCTGTACTCCTCCTATCGCAGGCAAGATCCCTCATGCAACCATTGCAGCCATGCATCTCGCTGGCGCAGACGAAGTTTACCTGCTTGGAGGAGTGCAAGCCATTGCAGCCATGGCACTGGGCACCGAGACCATGGCCAAGGTGGATTTCATCGCGGGGCCCGGCAACGCCTTTGTCGCCGAGGCGAAGAGGCAGTTGTTTGGCGAAATTGGGATTGATCTTTTTGCGGGACCGACGGAGATTCTTATTGTGGCTGATGAGACCGCCAATCCCTTTACGGTGGCAACGGACATTCTCTCGCAGGCTGAGCATGGGCCTGATTCGCCCGCGGTGATCATCACCACGTCCGAGGCCGTTGGCCGAGAATCGATGCGGATTATTACCGAGCTATTGAAGAACCTGTCGACCGCTGAACTAGCGGGAACCTCGTGGGAACGGTTCGGCGAGGTGATCGTGGTGGACTCGATTGACGAAGCTTGGACACTGGCGGATGAATATGCCAGCGAGCATGTCCAAATCCTCACCAAAGAGCCGCGAGAAGCCCTCAAGAAAATGAATGCCTACGGTGCTTTATTCCTTGGAGAAAAGACTTGTGTCTCCTACGGCGATAAGGTATGCCCCTGATTAAAGTAGGAGATATTCCACGCTGACCAAGTAAGGTCATTGGCACCAACCATGTCCTTCCCACCAAGAAAGCTGCGAGATATACGGGAGGTCTGTGGGTTGGAAAATATCTTCGCACCGTGACATATCAAGAAGTCACCAGCCGTCAGGCAAGCGGAGAATTGGGACGGCTGTGTGGAAGAGCAGCACGCGCTGAGAACTTCGAGGGTCATGCACGGTCTGGCGATCTTCGGGCTTACAACTATCTCGGTGATCAGTTTGAATGGATTCAGAGAGATATGTAGAGTATAGTGGAGTAATCTATGTCCAAACTGAATTATGTCTATTTCACATTTCCGAGTCAATGCTTGGTGGAGCTTCCGTGTACGTGATCCTATATAGTCCAGGTTTCTGCACAGGTTTGTGAACGATACTTCACTTTCCAAATAGAGTTGTATATCCTCATAACGGGGAATAGCACCAGGAGCGTGGATGCCATGATTCTATAGGGATACTATCTTCCGACACTTTGTTCACGACAATACTATCCGTAAACCTGCCGGCCCTATGATGATCTCGAATTTAAAGTTAAAGTTGACTCTGCAAGTCAACGTGCTCGGTAGACATATTACGATACTACTGTTTGAGAAGTATCTTTTCAACATATCTTTAAACAGCCGTGATATGGCCGTATATAATTCTCTCATTGGTAGCAGATGCTTATTCGAAGTCTCAGAGATCTCACACTATTGTGCCTCCCAAAGGAATCCAACCAGTTAGTTTATTGATTGTGGGGAAATTCGGATGACCACATTCTCTCTGGACTCCCAAACAATGTGATAATGCATACGTGCTGAGTTTGGATGGGCGACACCCCTCCACCTCCTCACCCGGTGGTCCCGAAGTATCTGTTTGCCGACAAGAGGCGCGAGAGGAAGCCGAAAGACTTACCCCACCTGGTATTGTTTTTCTTGTTCCTTTTTTATTTGAATAAAAATGATCGTTACCCGTACAAAAGGTCCTCAATTGCAGTAATCATTGCCTATCACCCATTGTGTTCCTTCTTCTACGAACAGCCAATATCTCACCCAATGGCAGCTATTAACGGAACAGTCGCCAACCAGACCACCAGTCCATCTCCTTTGAAGGTATTAGTAGTAGGAGGTGGAATCGGTGGGTTGACTGCTGCAATTGCTCTTCGTAGGCAAGGCCATGAGGTCCAGGTATGTTATCCGATCCGCCTATGACTGTAAAAGACGGTTGACCATTGCAGATCTTCGAGCAATCTCAACTGGCCGTCGAAACCGGCGCAGCACTTCATCTTGCCCCGAATGCCAATGGAATCCTGAAGCGATTGGGTATCGATGCGCAGCAGCTCGGCGCGAACTTGATGGAGAGGGTACGCTTCATGCTATTGATCGATTCGCATACTATGTCTAACCCTTTAGCTTGTTGAATATACCTCTCTGGGCCACATTGAACGAGCTATCGATCTTACCGAGCAAAACAAGAGGTGGCAGCATGTGAGTACCACCGCTAAGTAGTCTTGGGGGCGTCAATTTAACAGCTTTCAGCAATGGCTGCTAGCTCATCGCATTGATTTGCATAACCAACTCAAAAGGGCAGCCATGAGCACTGATGCGGACCATGAGGCTATCCCATTCCGAACCGCCAGTCGGGTGGTACAGGTCGACCCAGCAACAGCCACCATCACACTTGAAGACGGGACCCAGTTCCAGGGCGATCTGGTGGTTGGAGCCGACGGAGTCCACTCCATCACTCGCAGCGCAATTCCAGGCGGAAATGTCAAGGCTTCCTGCTGCGGCAAAAGCGCTTTTCGCTTCCTTGTATCCAAGCAAGCAGCGCTGCATGATCCCGAGACTGCCGCTCTAGTCAAGCGTCCGGGACAGCTATCCATCTGGTACGGCGCTGATCGGCGGATTGTACTCTATCCCACGTCGCACAACACAGTGTTGAATTTCGTGTTGATTCACCCCGAAGAGGAGTCGGCAGAAGAGGCAGACGAGAGCTGGGGCCAGTCAGGCAATCTACAGAAAATGCTCCAGATCTTCTCGTCGTTTGACCCTGCAGTGCTAAAGCTGCTAAGCATGGCGGATCCACAGAGTGTTCGGGTTTGGAAGTTGCTAGATATGGAGGAGATTCCCCGTTGGTATGAGGGGCGTTTGGCTCTGCTGGGCGATGCCGCCCATCCCTTTCTCCCGCATCAAGGGCAGGGAGCGGGGGTTGCAATAGAAGACGCTGCTTCCCTGGCTGTAGTGCTGCCTTTTGGAACGATGGTCGAGGAAATACCAGAGCGTCTCCAGTTGTATGATGAGATTCGCCATGAACGCGCTAGCCGCATACAACAATACTCTCGGTTGGCCGGCCGTGATCGTGTCGATGGACAGGAAACCGCTGACAGTAAGCGTTCCATTTTCATTCGTCGAATTTCGCACTCTAACTGCCTTAGTGTACGGCTTTACCAACTACAATTTTGGCCACGACGAGTGGGATAATTCGACGCAGAAACTCCGCGAGTGGACGTGGAAACGCATCCCCAATCCCTACTGGCGCATGCCCCTCGCCTTTGGTCCTATGCCCGGTCCGCGCCAGAACCACTTGGGCGTCCCCCGGGATGGCACCAAATCCGCCTTCACTACTGCCTCGATCAAGTTCAAGACCTCACGTACCGTACTACAGAACCTCTTTCCCCCGGGCCGCCGTGGCTGGCGATTCAGCGCTCCTGATACCGTGGCATATGCCTCCTTCTCGCAGACCACCCTGAACAAGATGGAGTGGTTGGGTGGCTCAGGATATTCTCATATCGGTTTGTATGTCCATGGTGTCGAGTACGTCAAGAAGGACGGCACCGTCATTCGAGGCTCCTACCTGCCCATCCTCTTTGAGTCGCTGACCGACCCCATCGTGTCGGGAAGAGAAGAGCTGGGCGCTCCCAAGTTATATACTTCGGTGGACATCTATCGCCAGGCAAAATCGTATCGGATTCGTACAGGGTGGCAGGGCGCTCTCTGGGGCCATTTCCTACTTGAAGATCTGGTCGAAGTTGACCCAGCGTCGACCCCCGGAGGATTCAGTGGAGAAGCTGATGAAGGGATCCTGGTATACAAATATCTTCCACAGACCGGCCGATTGAACAAGAACAAGGCGGCTGAAGAGTACGCGGCCTTTGATCCCTTCTCGGAGGCTGTGCCCGCCCCCAATCCTCGCAAGGTATGGACCTCCTCCACGGCCAGTTTCCAAATCGACCCGCTGGACTGGGAGCAACTGCCTACACTACATCATGTCATTTCGCGACTCGCAGAGCTGCCGGTATATGAGATCGTAAGCGCCAGGGTGGTGGAGGGAGACGGAGTGCCCGACGTTTCGGGAATGAGGCCAATTGAATAGATATCTATGCCGCGTTCTTTGACTACTTTTTTGCAGCTGACAGGAAGAATATGTTAATTGTCTTCATGATCTCAATATTGAACCACTGAGGGTACTATTTGTTACTAGCTTAGAAGCAAATCAACCTGCTCGCACTCTTCGATTCTCATTTCCCTCCAATAATTCCTAGAATAATTGGTCAGTAGAGAGGACAGACCGTTCCACCCCTGTCTCCTGCAGTCATTGTGGATATCCCCCATCACCTACTCATCCTTATCTCACGAATCACCGCATATTACTGGCCGGTTGTATATCCTCCCTGGAACTATTTCCCACCAATTCTAAAACTAATGGACTCTCCATAAGCAGTCCGTACTAGCTTGAATTGGATCACTCGGATCATCTCTTTTGATGCACGGGAAACAATTCTGGTTCGTCCAAGCGGTATTCCGACGTCTCCCCCACTTCCCCGGACCCCACCCCCGGATTGTCCCCCTTCCCGACGTTTTGCACAGACTAAACCTTGTTCGCACAAAAGTCACTGCAAGCCAACACGGTTGGCTCACGTTCGCCTCTCCGCTTCGAGGGGGGCCGAGAACCATCGCCAGCTCGGTGAAAACAGCTCAGGAGGTGCACGTCTCTTCATTGGATACTTCCTTTCTCTGAAAATCTCTGGACTGGTATTAATCTCCTTCCAACCTCCAGGTTATTCCCTCATCAGCTGTCCTCCTTCTTGTTTACATCACTATTTACACATGGCAGATACTAGCCTCAAGACGACGGAGACGATCGAGCATGTCGAGGACAGTCAGTCTCGCGGCCCCTTTCATCTACGCAACCTCGGCCATGTTCGTCTGCGCCATGAGCACACCAACGAGGTCATCTTGACTCCAGCTCCCTCACTGGACCCCAACGATCCCCTTCGCTGGTCGACTGCCTACAAGATCTATATCGCCAGTCTCGTCTCTCTAGCCATGGTCATGTGTAATTTCATGGCTGCCGGTCCCACAGTCGCAATGGTTGCAATTGCGACCGACTTCAAAGAAGGAGGGAACACAACGCTGAGTGACTGGATCAGTCGGGCCGCGTACTTTTTTAACAACAGCGCTCTGATGCAGGGCGTCTCGTGTCTCTTCTGGGTGCCGCTACTTAATAAATACGGCCGGCGGCCAGTCTACATCTCTTCTTTCATTCTCTACTTCTTCATGATACTTGGAGCCGGTTTAGCAAAGACGTATTCAGGCGAGATCACGACCCGGACCATCCTAGGTATCGGGGCGGGTGCCGGCGAGTGCCTGGCGCCTGTTACCATTGCCGATGTGTTCTATCTTCACCAGCGAGGTTATGGCATGGCGTGAGTGTTCTTATCCTGCTGTGGATTCAGCGCTCAGAGAAACTGACGGCCCGTTTGACCAGTATATATAACGCCGCCTTGAGTGCAGGAGTTGCCTTCGGTATCATCATCTCGGGACTAGTCACGATCAAGCACGACTGGCGGACCATCTACTGGGTGGGATGCGCCCTAGTCGGAGCCCTGATCGTTGTGGTCGTCCTCTTTTTCCCAGAGACTGCCTACCGGCGTGTTGGAAACCCCTTCGTGGAACGCACCGTCGAAATCCAGAAACTCTCGGACAGCAACAACCTGGAATTTGCATCAGTTCCTCCTATCCCTCCCAAGATGAGCTACCTGCGTAGTCTGCGCTTCTGGTCCGGCGAGACATATACCGACGAGTCTTTCTGGCGGATGTTCGTGCGTCCCTTTGGGCTGATCCTCATCCCACCCATCTTCTGGGCTACCATCGTCATGTCGGTGACTATCGGGTTCCTGGTGGCTGTTGTCTCCAATTTCGCCTCGGCGTTCAGTACAACCTACGGCTTTGAGGCCTGGCAGTCCGGTTTATGTTTCATCGCTGGCATGTTAGGTTGTTTCCTGGGTACATTCGCCGGTGGTCCGTTTTCCGACTGGGTGGCGGATTACTTTACAAAGCGCAATGGAGGGATTCGTGAGCCTGAGATGCGATTGCCTGCGATTATCCCAAGTGTGATCGCCGCGCCTCTTTCTTTGGTGCTATATGGATGTGGTATCGCCAATGGCTGGCACTGGATGGTACCTACCGTTGGCTTGGGCTTGTGTATGTTTGTCCTGTCATTCTTTGTTCAAATCATCCACCTGACCCATCATCATGTAGTGTCTTTCGCCATCACCCAGGGCACGAATGTCTCCTTCGTCTACTGCATTGACTCCTTCCGTCCAGTGGCCGGTGAAGTGACGGTCACCCAGCTTGCTTTCAAGTGTGAGTTTTCTTTACCTCCATTGCGGTCATCTATCTGCTAACACCCGCAGCTTGCTTTGGATTCCTACTTTCCTTCTATACCAATCCGTGGATCGACGAGTCCGGCTATATTGCTGCTTATGGCGCTATGGCGGGCATCTCAGGCGGCTGCCTACTCTTCTTCATCCCACTGTTTTTCTGGGGCAAGTCTATCCGACATGCCTCTATGAAGTGGTCGTTTGTTCAGTTTGTATTCTGGAAGGATGATCGTGAGATGGGAGAGTAGTCGAAACAGGGGCAACTGAAATTCGCATTCACTTTGTGGAACTTTATTGTTTTGAAGCCAATGGGGAAATTGATTATTGGATAACTATTTTATGCGGCGACTTCTATCCTTCATGGAGTTCTCATCACAGAATCACTTCTGGGGAATGTTTGTATCCGAAGATGTAACAGCTACAAACACTGTTCCAAGACTAATTCTTATCTATCTATCTTGTTGCGTAACGAATGAATAAAATGGAAGCAGAGATCCACTGCATTAATCCAGGCCCGTCTTTGATCGTGTGTGACTATTTGTTCAATGTTATGTAGAGCGCATCATGATATCTACTGAGTCTGATACTACTATTCAGGGCATGGAAGATATGAGTACTGTGTAGGTGGTATCCACATCAACACAGCCAAAGAATCGGCGCGGCTTATGCAGAGTCTGACACAGCACCAGAGCTGTCCTTTAGAGTTTTGGCTAATAATATAGCGTGTTTGGCTTCACGGTCCACTGCAGTCTCGACTCTCGAATCCAGACCTTCTCTGTGGGTCTCCGCATGGCTGATTTGCCTGACCAAAATCATCAGCGCATTACGCACCCACTGGAGATGCACAGGCTATCCCTCTTAGGATCCAGGGGTGTGCCATGTGTAAATAGTTCTCTACCAGGAACTCATGGCAAACAGAATCAAGTGGGGCTCAGCAGATTCTTTAGCAGAATTCGTTGCCAATTCCAAACAGGTCAACCATCTCTTGTAACAGGGTATCAGACACAACTGAGTATCTTGACTTGTTGGATTTATTCTGAGTTTGCCTGACACGTTGAGTGCCAAGTTAATGGGAAACTGGACATTAATGTTGGTCCGATTATCGGACTTCATCAGAACGCCCCACACGTTACGGTGGACTTTGGACCAGAAACGAAAAGCCCCAAGTTACGGCATGATTACACATAGATTGTGGTAGTAATGATCTTGAGAATTCAGAGCTCCTTTCCTACTCTGCCAGAATGATCATAATGCCCCTACTCTGCCCTCCACATTTCGGCTCCACGCGACATTTCAGTGTGCGGAGTCGGATGGCTGGGGGGTAAAGTGGGGCGAGCGCGAAACACAGTAGAAGAGGACCTTTATAACCACATTCAACTATACGCCTCGAACATAGTCTAGATAAACACAAAGTCGTGTCTTCTTTCCAGTCACTACACTCACAGTACAATGCGTATTATTTGGCGCGCCTCGGCCGATCCAGCCGTCTACGAAGAAGCCCGCGTGGGTCGCGTCTTCAACCACCGTCGCCCGCGACGATATCCCCTGGCAGTAGTCAAGGCTACTTGTCTAGACGACATCGTGCTGGCAGTCAAGTTGGCAAAGGAGAAGAATTGCCGCGTCGCTGTGCGCTCCGGCGGGCATTCATGGGCTGCTTGGAGTGTGCGTGATGAGTCCATTCTTATAGATTTGGGCGATTACAAGCACTTGGAAGTGGATGCAGAGAAGCGCATGGCGCGAGCATCACCCAGTATGACGGGGAAGGAGATCAATGGAAAGCTGATCAAGGAGTATGGGTTGATGTTTCCCGGGGGTCATTGTCCAGATGTTGGCCTGGGGGGCTTTCTCCTGCAAGGGGGGATGGGATGGAACTGCCGGGTATGACCCGAAATCTCCAAGTATTATGGTTAACTGACTTGAAGAAGGGCTGGGGTTGGGCGTGCGAGAGAGTCAAGGCTGTCGATGTGGTGACGGCAGAGGGGGAACTGCTGCACTGCAACGAGAATCAAAACGAGGATCTCTACTGGGCCGCTCGAGGTGCCGGTCCGGGTAAGCTCTTAACCTACATCATCAATTCATCATGCTGATTCTCGACCCATCCTCTTGGCAGGCTTCCCTGGTGTGATCACACAATTCCACCTTGAGCTCATCCCGTATCCCAAACGCGGGTTTCGGTCGTCTGGGTACGTCTACCCCATCAGCAAATATCATGAAGCCTTCAGCTGGATAGTCGCCATCACTCCGGATTTCGATCGCGACACCGAAATCGCTGTTGTGAGTATGTATCCTGAGGACAGCAATGACATCTGCCTCTTCGTGCTCCTCGTGACTCTAAAACACACCCCGGAAGAGGCAGAAGCAGCCCTCACTCCAGCCCAGCAGTCACGCCCTGCTGGCACCATCGGGGAATGGTTCTGCCGAGAGGACAGCCTAGAGAACCAATACGTGAACCAAGGCAAGGCAAACCCAGAAGGCCACCGCTACTGCGCCGAGAATTCCTACCTGCACAACGACGCGGACGTCCCTAAAGTCCTCGAGGAGGCCTTCACCACATTGCCCCATCGCAAGGCTTTTTCCCTGTGGTACGGGATGAACCCTTGTAGCCGCCGCGACCTGCCGAATATGGCACTCAGCATGCAATCGGATCACTACTTTGCACTGTATACGGTGTGGGAAGACGAGAAGGACGACGCACGGTGCCAGGCGTGGGTAAAGAACGTGATGAAGCAAGTCGAGCGGCATTCGGTTGGGGCGTATCTAGGGGATTCAGATTTCCAGGAACGACAGACCAGATACTGGTCCGAGAGCAACGGCCGTCGACTGATGGATATCCGCAGGAAGTGGGATCCTACCGGCAGGATCTGCGGATATTTAGACAGGGGGGATGTCTCGAGGACTAGGGGGTTGGATAACGTTCATGAATGGGAGACGGTGCCTTCCCAGCTATAGTACATTTCTATCGTTCAGATGCATTTATAGATGTATACTTTATCATACCTAAGATATCATTCAATAGTTTCATGCAGCCTGTGTCATTTTAGTTCAGGACTACTCCTAATTTTCTAACCGTTGAACTAAAGAAACATACAATGTTAGAAATTCTATTTCAGCGAGTCAAATCTTGGTCTCAAAATTCTCCACAGGCCAAACTGTTTTATTTTTTGCGGAACAACATAGGTTGATATTCTTTTCATTTGGCAGATTCTCCATCGAGCCACTAAGATGGGTTATCGGGCAGGTGGGGGAGATGTCGGGATGTCAGCTTGTGCCGTGCGGGGGTGTGGAGGGTAGCCGGCTGAGGACACTCGGTAGTGCGCGTCTTTCATCATAGTGCTAAAATAACCCTAGTGATATTTATCAAGGAGTAGTCAGTTGACAAGTTTGATACATATCAATTAAGCTCAGTACCTCTCTCCAGCCTCCTCTTCAAATCGATCAGCAGACCGTTGCCCAGCACAATGGAGGCGTCGCTACGAGACAAAGTAGCTATAGTAAGCGGTTCCTCCTCTGGCATTGGAGCTGCTATTGTGCGCGAGCTGTCCTCTCGCGGGGCCAATACGGTGGTCAACTATCCCTTTCCCAGTCTCCAAGCTGAAGCAGACACATTGGTGGCCTCTCTTCCCTCTCCTGCAATTGCCGTAGAGGCAGACATGTCCCGCGCAGACGCGCCTCAGAAGCTAGTTGACGCCGCCGTCTCTCAATGGGGTAGGGTTGATATCGTCGTCAACTCCGTTGCACTGGCAGTCAACAAGCCCTTCGAAGAGCAGACGCTGGAGGACTGGGATTTGCTGGTGAACATCAACGGACGGGGAACATTTCTCCTGACGCAGGCGAGCCTAAAACATCTGACAAAAGGGTCCGGTCGGATCGTCAACATTGCAAGTATTTCAGCGCGTGGGCCTCCGCCGAACCAGACAATCTACGCGGGGACGAAGGGGATGGTCGACTCCTTTACCAAGTGCTGGTTAGTGGTGCTACCATTCTTATGTGGTACCTGTTTGAATACTGAGCATACTCCGCAGGGCCAAAGAACTCCCTCCCAAGTATGGCTGTACCGTCAATGCCGTCAGTCCTGGTCCAACAATGACCGAGGGTTTCGCTGCTGCCGGCAAGGAGCAGATGAAGATCCTTCAACCAATCATTGATCAGACTCCTGTTGGGCCACGGATGGCTCAGCCAGATGAGATTGCCTATGCTGTGGCCTTTTTATGTGAGGAACGTGCGCGATGGATTAATGGTGCACATCTGATTGCATCTGGGGGCTTGTTCATTGATTAGTGCATTGAAAAAATCTTCATGCTCGGCATTAACCACTTTCTCATATCCACATTCTTGAAGGAGTTTAGACATACATAGCAATGTCTCGGATTGAAGGGAAAGAAGTTGTCTGCTGTAAAAGTAATAAAAGATATCACTGTATCTGTAGCACGACAGCAGGCGGGAATATGTTCAATCCTGACCAAGGCTTTGGGTCAGAACTCGCACGAACCTGGACCGAAAGCAACTCTGGACTTAGTGCCCCTAGTAAATCTTGTGAATAGAGTCCAAATATCTAGCTGTGCTAGTCATTATAGTTGGAAGACAAAGGATGAGTGGAGGGTATCAGTGTGTGCGCTGAAGAGAAAGCAGGGTGTGTCTAGACTCTAGACTGGCTGACCCAATCCGCAAATCCATATTCAACCCACCTAATCCGCACTTTGGATTGGATTTAGGTAGGCACTAATCCAACGCGCAACTAAATGGGTTAACCATACCCAATCTACATGGATATAGATAACCCATTAGGTGCATGTGAATGATGAGATTGTCACACCCTGGGATCCGTCTCTGCTGTTCTCTTCTAGTCAACTAATTTGGGAACGGGGTTATATAGTCCCTGGACTATATCCGATACTTGCCTGAGGCCTACCGACCAGGTAGCCTAACGATGCAACGATACAATGACCCTCCGGGGTCAAGCGGAGGGGGGGAATATGGCGGGTACGGCCTAGATAGATCTAACTGGATTGACATGGAGATTTGTATTTTACAGTCTCTAGGAGCAGATTGATATCGTAGTGTTAGAATCTAGGGGATTCAGGAGAGAAGAGAGAGAGAGATGATGATGAAGCTTACTTCTCTAGAGGCGAAGGGATCTATCTAAGCTAAGGAGCCCATCTGGGTCAAATGACCTGATGGAGACAAATCTGTCGGACACGTAGTTTTGATAAAAAAACGCCCTCCCCACCACCTCCTCGTGCGGATTCTGCCGCCACCAAACAAGCCGATTGGCAACACGTGCCACTTATACCAATTATGAGCTGCTAGGAATATTCGACATATTGTGTGAAAGATGCCAGAACCAAACCGACCACGCTCGGCGGTGGTTAGAAGCGCAGGCATCGCTTTTAATCAAAAACTAAATGCCCTACGAATGTCACAATAACGAAGAATGTGTCACCGCAAGGTTCAGTGAGATTGTGCGAGGCCGATGCAAGCTGAGTCAAGACCCAGACAATTCCAAATGGGACACGGAGTTCTACAGGGTCAGGTGTTACGCTTCTGGATAAATAATAAGATGACATCAGCCTCGCTGAAGAAGAAGAAGAAGAAGAAGAGGAGGAGGAGGAGGAGGAGGAATCCTCTGAACAGTTCACGGGCTTTGTTCTACCGGGGAGGTTACGACAGCTTAGTGATTAAACGAATGTCGGAGAGCATCATTTTTTACTCGGTATCTTTCAATAGCAAGATTTTGATCAATGCTCATCAGAGATCCATTGGGTGGTTGCAGATCGGCTAAGGTCAACTTTTTGGTCCGGCGTGGTGAAACAGCTTAGTAAGCCCTTGGCAGTCATGTGACTCTCGCGTAACGTCAAAATTTTATTTTCAACTCGCACCACCCCTTTCAAACCCTTTACCTTTACCACCTCACCACCTCTATCAACATGGCCACTCTTGCTTCGAATGTCAGTATTACTACTTATTAACTAATTAAATAGTGATTAGGATCAGAGAAAGCAGACAATTTACTAAAGAAGTGGTACCAGTGGTATCTTCGTGAGGTTGAGAGTGGAAAACTTGTGTTGCCTGACTACGAAACGGTAAGTCTTTGTGTTACTCTAATGAGCACTTTCTAACTGATTCCTAACTGGTTCTAAATTACTTGCAGAATGAAGATGATGAGCTGAAGATTTACTATGGTGAACTCTTCTGTCGGGTCCCAGACTGCGTGAGAGCTCAGGTGAGTATATTTACTGTCTATCTAGGTGCTTGCGAACTGGTTGGGAACTGCTTAGAAGAGATATACCGCGACGAATAATCTCCGTACCCATTTGCTCACCCATGACGGCATCAAACTGGAAGAGGGCCTGGTTGGTGGACGTGTCACACAGAAGGAAATGGATAAAGCAATCAGTAGGTAATGCCAACTGATTACAGAGTATTGGGAACTGATTAGGAACTGCTTAGAATTCTACAAAAGTCTTTTCTCTGGTGCGGAACCCCAGAAGCCAGCAGAGGGTAGTGCTTCTAGCGCTCAAACTGCTAGTCCTTCTACTCCCACCCTGCCCATGAAGAAGGACGGTACTGTAAGTAGTTCTGAACTACTTCTAAAGTGCTCAATAACTGGCTGCTAGCTGCTTAGGTTCATGTGACTAATATGCGCAAGAAAGTTGTTGAGCTTGGGCATAAGGTGCCTTGTGACTCTTGTGGAAAGCGCAATGACTACTGCAAGGACGTGAACAAATGTGATTATTTTATTCTCTTTAATTGTGGTTCAGTCTGCCCGACTCCTGCGTCTCAGGTGGACACAGAGGATGAACTAGGTGCTGAGGCCTGAACTAGTTTATAACTAGTTTGCAAGCAGTTAATAGTCTTTTCATTTTTCATAGTTAATAAGTATTGCGGGTTACTTCTTAAAAGAGTAGTAGGTTAAAGAGAAGGGTTAAGTAATTAAAAACTGATTAGAAAACAGTTGCTTTATAATATTAGTGAAAGTAAACTCTAAGAGTAAGTGTGCGGAAATATATATATATAAAGTGGTAAAGACTAAGTAATCATTAACCAGTTACTAAGTAGTTATAAACTAGTTATTAACTACTTCATTGTCGCTCCTGCATTTGAATTCGCCGCTCCATAAGATCTAGTTCTAACTTCTCATTCTCAAGCTGCTTCAGGCGAATTTCCTCCTCCTATTTTTTTAGTTCTATTTCCATTTTTTGAAGCTCAAGCTCCTGACGCCTCTGCTCTAAATTTAGTGCATTTATTAAGGCAACACGACAAAGCGCCTGTGAAGATTGTATAGGCCTAATTAGTTAGTAAGTACTAAAGAAGCACTTCCTAAGCGCTTAGAGATACTTACTCATTATCTTCTCTTTAAGAGGAAGACCTTGAGACAGCTGGTCTTTCACTACCTCTAAGTAATTATGAATTACTTTAGGCTTCAGAAGTACTTAAGGATATTAAGCATCAGCACTTACGGCCTCCTAAAGTAACTAGTTAGTAATTACTTAGTAACTAGTTAGACATTTACTTACTTTCTCAACTCATATGCCGTAGGTAATTTGCCTCCATATTTAATGTCCAATAAGAATGATGAATATTTAACTGCTGGAAATTTTGATACTGTAAGATATCATCCTTATCCAGTTTAGCAGAACTATAAATATTAGTATTTCTTAATATAAGTGGTTAGAAAGTACTTACTTCTTTACTGCCTCAAGTAATGTTAGATACTTTCCAGAGGCATATGACTTTTGATGTGATTGCTCAACTGCATTAGTATAATTGTGTAATAAATCAAAATAATAAGGTTAAATCTTAGAGCATGCTTTATTTAAGCCTGCTTTAATTACTGGACTTTTTTTCTGCTGTGCCCAGTTCCCAATATTCTGATTTTCATACTCTAATAAGTAGTTAGTAAGTGCTTAATAGGTACTTAGTAAGGGGGTAAATACTGATTAGTAGCTCAAGTAATTCATCATACTCAGCCTCTGATTTACAGTCTAATAGACTCATCATCCAGCTCCAAAGAGGGGTTCCCTGACTTCTAGTACCAAGTACCTTTAAAATTGATTGTTGAAAATGAACACGGCAGAATAGAATTATATGTTCTAACTGCCATGTTACATCTTAGTGTTGAGGATCAATCTCAGAGAGATATCGGCCCAGACCTTAACCAGTTACAAACTGCTTTAGAAATACTTAGAAACTACTTACCTGAGTATTGTTTGGAGTCCATATCAATAATAATACCATATATTCCAGAGCCATGAATAGGGTCAAATAAGACTGGCTGTTGCAAAACCTTCTGAATCATAGTAAAGACTCTTTTAAAGAGTAGATAATACCCTTCAGCAGAATCCAGACTCGTGAAGACTTGAAGTAATGTAATGACTGTTTAAGGACTACTTAGTAACTAGTTACTAAGTAGTTAGGAATACTTACTTTTACTTTGGTCAGGTAGAAATGTTGCAAAAAGCACCTCATTCATATCCTTTAAGCAAATCCGCTTGAAAGACATATCTACCTCAAATGAAGAAAGCTTAGCTAGAAGCTAAATCTGCTCTTTATAGGCATATAAAACCATAGTGCCTTGGGAGTCATGAAACACCTCCTGGACATAGCTCTAGATTCTAGATAAGTATATAAAAACTAGTTTCTAACTGCTTAGCAAGTACTTACCTTTATATATTGGTCCATCCTTTGCAGAAATATAAGCCCATTAATATCCTGACCATTTGGATATGAAAGCAGCCGTTATTTCTGAATAATTATAGTAATTCTATCCTTATTACAGAAGCTAGAGTGAATCTCTGCTAGTGTAGAAGCATTATATTGCTCACAGAAGGCTTCAAGCTGGGGACTTTGAAGGAATTGTGCTATACCAGCTAGTTAGTAACTTGTTATTAACCAGTTAATAAGTACTTACCAGTTGTCAGACTTGGGTCCTGAATTTACTGGATAATCTGCTTAACTACTTGCAGAATCCGTTCAGGTGGTTTAGTTGGAGGTGGTGGAGGATGCTTATGGACACTGTGAGATGTAAATAAGATATATAGACATTAAGAGATATCCACAGGGATTAAAGCATTAAAGATAACATAGCAGGGGGTATGCTTTAAGCGTCCAGAGCCCTGTGGATGATCACAATCTAAAATAATTAATAACTACTTATAAACTGCTTAAGAACTACTTACCGCAGTACTTTCGTCGGGATGATAGTGGTTTAAAGGAGCCACACTCTTCGGATGATGGTAAGATATCTTTATTAAAAAGATCCTCTAGAAATTCAAGATCAATAGCTGCATGACCTTAAACTGCCCCTCAATGATGCTTTGTTAAGAAATCATATATTTCATTAACACATCCAATATAGGGGGGATATTCTCCATGTACATTCTTAAGTAGTTAGTAACTAGTTTAAAAGTAGTTAAGAAGTACTTAAACATACCACTTATGAGTATCTTTTGAAGACTGGCTTGCATGTTGGGAGCTGGTTAAGACAGGCATAGCCCTTATTAAAAAGAGTAATCTTTGAGCAGTAGTAGCTATAAGCAGTTAGAAACTAGTTCCTAACTAGTTATATTAATATTACCTGTAGGCATTCCGCTTGCGAATATCTGACTCAAGAATTTAAATCTGACACTAAGATTCCTGAATTTTTTCCCAGATAGCCTCATCAACAGATGTATGATGACAAGATAAAAGAGATGGGCTAAGATATTCACATGCAAGAATACCAGAGCATTTCCAGGTCCATTTTTTAACCTGGCATGATAAGAAAGGACAATAAATAGGATGTTTCTGTCCATAGCTCTGCTTCTTAGCATATTAAATCTAAGCAGTTAGTAAGTACTTATAAAGCACTAGCCTGTACTTACTTCATATGGTATCTGCTCCATTTCAGTCTGTGAGCGTCCCCCTGCTGCAACAACATATGTATATCCATGGATATGACTAGTTGGATACTCTGGAAGGTCATCAATGTACTCAAGTTTGAGTGTTATAAGGGGAGAGTTCTTTGCATTAGTAAGAGGGATAGGTATGGTTGGTTCCTAACTAGTTAGTAACTGATTAAGAACCGCTTCTCGTAGAAAGGGGAAATATACTTCTATTTCTTGGTCGGTATTCTCCCATCTAAAGAGGTCATCATCAAGACAGATACTAGGCTCAGTAGGTTCCATGTTTAAACTGCTTAAAAACCAGTTCCTAAGTGCTTAAAGAAAATACTGATATGTAAAGATAAAATAAGTGAAGGTAAAATGAATTCTGGCTACTAATGTAAAGTATTAAATAGGTCACGCGAGATCAAGCTGCTGAGTAATTGGCTTGGCGATTCACGTGTTAGGGGTATGGGTCACGCGAGACTTCAGAGTAGCTCAGTTGACCTGTGTACACATGGCAAAGTCCCATATTCATGGCGTCGCAGACAGTCAGCGGTTAGTAATTCAGTGAAGGCGCTGTGGGGCAATTGGTAAGTGCTCGAATAAATAAGCCTATCAGGGTGGAAGAACCGTTATTAGGAAGAGCCAGCGAAATGACTGCTCAGCAACTCTGACCATTGGATGGATAGTAAAATCATCAGGTTTCACCCTAGATCCGGGATTAGCCATCGTTGCTAGACTTCTGTGCATCCCAGTGTATCGGCCAGAGAAAACACTTAGAGACGACTGCGTTTGATTGATCACCGCTCATCTGAAGGGGCATATAGTTTGATAGACCGCAGCCAACCAGGTAATATGACCCCATCTCAGGCAGTCAAACGCACATGGCTGGCTGATAACGTAATCGGTAAGCGAGTCGGCCATGTAAGCGAGTCGGCCACCCGGTCAAGGCATATCCTAGAATTCTGATTTACATACAAAAAAGGAAGTTATTCCACGTTAATCTAACCATTAAAACGCGCTGAATTCAGGCAGCTACTCGATTAGGACATCTTGTACGTATATGTCCTAAAACACCACACATACTGCACCGAGGTGGTGCCCGACGACATGGTTGATCATCTCCAGGCCCTGTATCACCAGCTGCTTCCTCTAAGGCCTGAACATGGTTGAATGCCTTAAGTGCTTCCTGGATTGTGAAGCCATTCAAACCATTCATTTGGTGTTGGTTACGCTTCTGCTTATTCTTTCGTCTCTCAATGGCCTGGTGAAGTTGAAGGTTTTCATGTTCAAGAAGAATAGCACAGTTCAAGGCTATCTCTGCACTTTTACAGATGTAAGATATTGCTGTCTGTATTGGTGAGGTAGGAGGGTTTGTTTGAAGTAATTAAGAGATCACCGACTCATGCTTTTTGAATTGATTCAAATTTATCGGTGTTTTGGTAATCGTAGATGTAGTGCCTTGACTGCTGGGACGGCTGTCTTCCTTGTAAAAGATAAGGCTATCCAGAACCTGGTTAGGATTAAAAGGGACTAATCCTGAGGCTCTAAAAGCACTCTGTATATTCATCTTCTTAAAGGCTTGGGCGTGGGCTTCTGGGTAGACGTCAAGAAAGTCAACCTTATCAATATGGTGATATCCTGTTCGTACAAGCCGTTCAATGAGGTTACTGTAAGCTCGTTTCAATGGTGAGAAACAGGCCACATCCAAAGGTTGACAGAGATGTGAGGAATTTGCAGGCATGCAAATAGGAATAATATCATTTTGACGACATATATCATCAAATTGAGGTGTTAAATGAGAGTCATGCCCATTAAGAACTAAGAGGCTATATTGGCCAGTTCTTCAGTCCTTAATATAAGGAATAAAGTGTTCTTTGAGCCAGTGTTCACCAATTTCTCGTGTTGTCCATCCATTTGATGATATAGCAATTCTCCATGGAGCTGGAGTATTACCTTCATACCAGGCCTGAATATGAGTCTTTGCTTTCAACACTAAGTATGCTGGTAATGCCCATCCGGAGGCGTTGATACACTCAATTGAAGTTATCCATTCTCGATTTCCCGGTTGTATAAGAAAGGGCCTTCCTTCACAGGATGATCGTGTGATTACCTTCGCGGTAGCCACCAGGCCCATAGCAAAGCCGGTTTCATCAAAATTGTAGATATCTTCATTGGCGATACCATAAGTTGATATAGCGGCTTGCACGCGTTTGAACCAGGCTTGAAGAACTTCAGGATCCTCGCATTTCGCCCGTTTATAATTGATTTGACGACTAAACCGACTTTTCAAGGAATCATGGCGGGAAATGAAGTTATATACCCATTTCTCTCCCACTGAGGAAGTTGTATCTTGACCACGTTGTTGGATCAATATTGTAGCCATTTCACGGACCTGGAAGTGCCTTGGCGGTGCACCACGTTGATCTAATGAGAGAATCCATTTAATAAGTGATTCTTCCTCTATAGGAGTCAACTTATGGGAATTGGCGCGGGTTTCCTTGCGAAATTTGATTCCATTCAAATGATCTTGAAGTGTTGACCGGGGGACAAAGATTGACTCTTTGGCGACACCCAAAACACCCACACCTGGCCGTTCTCGAGCCGAAAATTGCTGAAAGTTGTATTTAACTTTACCCTTGATTGGTTCCGGGTGGTAATTTCTTCTTCTTCTCGCTCGTTGCGGCGCAATGGGTGGTAAGAAGAAGAAAGGGGCCGTGGCGGCGGCGAATGCGTCACCATGGCCTGATCTACCCCTCGATACCTTCAACGACCTTGATCTACGCGCCCATTCGACGAAGCTACTAGATGCAGTATCTCAGTTGAAATGCACTGCGGAATCTACTAGGGGTCTCCCCCCTTTTGAGATGTTCTGGTCGCTCCTAGGCACCGTGGAGTCCCTCACGGTGAAGGCACGCGATGGCGACGCAGCCCAGCTTGCTAAAGAGGTCCATGATATCAAAACCATGCTCAAAGACACCGCAAAACGGATCTCCAGCGAAACCAAGAGCATCCAGCATTCTCTCGACGCGCAGCGTACCCTCCCTGGCGCCCCCGGGCGCACCCCCTACCGTGCGGCTCTGCTGTCCAGCAAGGCAGAATCCTCGCTCGTCTCCGATTGGATGAGACGGGCCCACACCAATGGCTCAATTGTATCGGGGGGGCATACCAGCACGGGCAGCCTGCCAGCGCCGGTTAGCCCCCAGCGAAGCGACCTGGAAATCCACATCCGCCGGACTGACCGCGCGGTGGTTGACCCCTTCCGCCATAAGGAAGGCGCGCTCGTGGAGCATGCCAACCGGGCTATCCAGGAATCTGGGGAGGCCATGATTGCCCACCGCAAGGTATCCACGGGCCGCGTGCTCCCTAGCGGAGACGTTCTCCTGCAGGCAGATAGCCTGGAAGATACCGAGCGACTCACCCGATCTAGCGCGTGGATACGCGCGTTCGGAGCCGACGCAGCTCTCAAGAAGCAGACCTACGGGGTAGTCATGCATGGCGTGGACTGCCACCAACTCACTGACGGCAAGACCGCTAACTTCATTGCGCGCCTGAAGGCTGATAATGCGGGCCGCCTAGCGGCCACCCCTACGGAGATCGTCTACGCTGGCTGGCTGTACGGGCAGCGGAAGGTAGACACGGAAAAGTTACGGAGCTCCCTGGTTTTAGTGGATTTCGATAGCGACAGGGCGGCGAACCGGGCACTCGAGCTCGGCCTCGCGCTGGATGGTAGGAACCACGCCTGCGCCTACTATGACCGGAACTTTCGCCTCCAGCAGTGCTACAACTGTCAGCTATATGGACACATCGCAAAGCACTGCAAGCGAACCACCGCCTGCCCCTACTGCGCGGGCAGGCACCCCCCCACTGAATGCCCGGACGCTAGGGATCGGGAGAAAGCCAAGTGCGCGGTCTGCGTTGCCGCCAAGCAGCCAGACGATGCCCACTTCGCGTACGACCGAAGCTGCTCTATCCGCGGGCACAAACAGGCCCTTATTCGCGCAGAGAGACTAAATGGACCCCAATTCCATGCCCCCGCGGCCCGATGGGCCCTGGAGACGCCCCCATCATCGATTACTAGCACCGACCCCGCGGTTAACCCATCACCGGCGGAGGCAGCGGCTCAGACAGACACAACCTTGGTCGATGCCCCCCTCACGGTCCCGGCACTCCCGCCCACGCGGCCCTCGATGCGCCCCCTCACCAGGAGCATGACGGGCCAGCCCAAGGCGCGCGCCACGGCTTCCCGCAGCAAGAGCACCCCCCGGGATGCTCACAGGCGGGAGCCTGACGAGCCCGCAGAGAGCGTCTCTACGGGTGAGGGTAAGCGAATTCGCCTAGCTCGGCAGGCCGGCAGGGAACGCATGGATGAAGATGCCCGATGGCAGCACCCAGAAGGTGCGTCTTTACTGCTTGAGCATGAGGGAATGGCCACTATAGCCATGGAAACGCCGGCGGAGCAGCGCCGGCGCTCCCGCTTCCAGGCCAAGCTGAACCCCGAGCTGGACCTAGTACAATCTGATATCACCCCCCAGGGCAACGCCCTCTCCTCCGCAGCCCTAACTAGGGTCAGCGGAAAGAGCAGGCGCCGCAGCCAGAGAGAGAACGAATCCGATGACGAACTATCTGCGGAAGTGGACCAGTTTGTTGACGCTAATGACCACGATACAGCTGAGCAAAGCTCTAGTGAAGGTACTAAACTATGAATACAGCGCCCAAGCTTCGCATATTGCAGGCCAACGTCTGGCACTCGCGCGAGCGAGTCATGATGCACCTCTTTAGTGAGAGAGGGGTCCAAGAACTCGAGATCCTGGCTATTCAGGAGCCGAGCATCAACCGGCATACCACGCCGGTTTCTACCTACTCGCAGGCCCTTGGGGGCCGGTTCCACGTTCTACTAAGGCCTACGGCCCCTGTGGACATGGCAGATGCCCCCCGGGTCTGCTTCTTTGTTAACAAACGCCTAGACCCGAAGACGTGGTCCGTACGGCACCACTGCCGCGACCTCAGCACCCTGACGCTCCGGTTGACGGGGCGGCACCCAGTGCACATCCACAACATCTACAACCCAAACCCGCAGTTCTCCCAGCAGCCTAGCGCGCTAGGCCCACTCCAGCAGGCGCTTGCGACCTCCGGTGACCATATCGTGGTTGGAGACCTTAATCTCCACCACCCGATGTGGGCGAGCTGGGGCTACCGGCACCGGCACGAAGCGGCGGACTGCCTAATTGATATCATGGGCGAGCATGGCTTAGAGCTGCTGACCCCGCCTGGCACCACGACGTATGAGAAGGTGGTGGCAGGTAGGCCCCAGCGCACGACCATCGACCTGGCATGGGCCTCCGCGGAGATGGCGGACCGGCTGGTTCGGTGCCAAGACCGCCGTGATTGGCTCTATGCCGCGGATCACGTGCCCATACTGACTGAATTCGACCTCTCGCTCGCGCCGCGCGCGGAGGTACGCCGGCGACAGTGGCAGGAAGCCAATTGGGAGGAGTTCTTGAAGGCGCTGGCGGCGGTACCCATGCCGCTCAACCCCCTGAACACCCCGGACCAGGCTGACCAGGCTGCTGAGCACCTAATACACGCCATCCTTGGAGCCGCGGAGTCTACTGTCTCCGAGGCTCGCATCTGCCGGTTCTCCCGGTCAGGCTATACAAAGGAGTTAGCCCCCCTGCGCGCGCAGGTTAACCGAACTCGCCAATGGGCCCGCACGGGTGACGAAGCAGACGTGGAGGCATACCGAAGGGCTGTCCACCAACTAGAACGCCAGAGCCGGAAGATGGCGACCAAGGCTCACCGGGAGCGTGTGGATGAAGCGACGCAGACCCTGGACGGCTTCTGGAAGCTGGCCCGTTGGGCCCGGCGCCGCGGAGAAGCGCAGCCAACCTTCACACCAACCCTGGTGGCGGGAGACCAGGAGATAGATCGACCCGAAGAGAAAGCCGCGGTACTCCGAGAGGCCCTGTTCCCCCCGCCCCCGGAAGCTGATCTGGCCGATACGCTTGGCTACCAGCACCCTGACCCGATTCCAATGCCCCCAGTGACTCAGGAGGAAATCACCCGCGCAGTCAAGCACGCGGCGCCCCTTAAGGCACCAGGCCCAGATGGTATTCCGAACGCCGCGATCCAGAGGGCTCTCCCAGTGGTTGGGCCCTATCTGACGCACCTCTTCAATGCCTGCCTCTCGCTAGGCTACTGCCCCAAGCACTTCCGTGAATCAACCACTGTGGTAATTCGCAAGCCAGGGAAGCCGGACTACACGTCCCCTAAGGCGTACCGACCTATCGCGCTGCTTAGTACAATAGGGAAGGCGCTGGAAGCCGTCATCGCCACGCGGATGAGCTACCTGGTGGAAGCCTACGGGCTTCTCCCCACCAACCACGTTGGGGGGCGGCGCGGCCGTTCGTGCGAGCATGCCATCCATCTGCTGCTAGAACGGGTGCATGCGGCCTGGCGCGCTGATGACCGAGTCGCGAGCCTGCTCACCCTAGACGTCTCCGGCGCGTTTGATAATGTGTCTCACCAGCGGCTTCTCCACAACCTACGCAAGCGGCGCATCCCCACCGATATCGTCAACTGGATAGCGAGCTTCCTTAGTGAGCGCTGGACCACGTTGGTTCTGCTGGAGGGCCCCATGGGCCGGTATAGGGTGGATACGGGCATCCCTCAGGGCTCCCCGCTCTCCCCGATACTATACCTACTCTATAACGCCGATCTGATCGATGAGATACACGCAGCCTTCCCCGGCCAGGTCATGGTCACAGGCTATATCGACGACATCTGCATACTAGTTTGGAGTAAGTCAGCCCTGGTAAACTGCCGCCGGCTCGAGAGAATACACGCCCTTGCGGAATGCTGGGAGGCGCGGCATGCCTCCCGATTCAACCCAGCCAAGTACGGCCTCATCCATCTCTGGTCCCGCCGCCGCGGTATACCGAGGCCCCTAGGCCCGCTGGACCCGGGGGCCCGGTTCCGTGACACCGAGGTCACGCCGGACCCGA